CTCAATAAGCCTTATAGTGAAAACACAGTGAAGTGAATCAAATTACACAAAAGGATTTAAGAGACACTTGATTATGGGACCTATCAAAGGGGAAAATAAGACAGTGTATCATCTGTAGCTAATTCAGTATAATAACTCATTTCAGTACAATTTATTGTATTTGCTTACTTAACACTTGGATTATGTAACCACCGATACAATTTACCAGGCATATAATTATAAACCATAATTTTGTCCTAGTCCTGTGACATAGTCTGGACCACCGTCCTCATTTTTCCCAGGTTTTATTTTATTTTATTTTATTAAAGCACCGTGATTTACAAAGGTATCCACAATTGAGTTTTAAAGATACAGTGTTCCGGCACCAATCCCATCACTTGTGTCCCTACCCTCTCTACCCCTGCAGCTTGCCACCTGGACAGACACATTTTTCACTTTGGTTGTTGAAGTTTGGATCTCGTGTTCTCAAGGTTGTTGACTCCGTGGTCTGGATCCGTAACTATTCCATTCCTCCACTCTGCTTGTACCCACACATGAACCTCTTGACCCCTTAACGCCCTACCCGCCTTCCCCCTGTTTGCTTCCTGTCTTTCCCCACCTCCCCGATTGATTTTCTTCTCTAACTTTTCTCATTTTTTTTAATTCTTTTTTTAGGTGTCAGGTATTGTTCAGGATAAAATACTGTTAAAGTTGTAGCACTGTAGCACTGTCCTCCCGTTGTTCATCGATTTGCTCGAGCGGGTCCAGTAACATCTCCATCGTGAGACTTGTTACTGTGTTTGGCATATCAAATATTGAATTCGCCACCGGGAGCTCTGCAGTGCGGGCAAGATACTCTCGGTAGCTTGCCGGGCTCTCTGAGAGGGGCAGAGGAATTGAACCCGGCTTGGCCAGGCCAGCAGCGCACAAGGCAAATGCCCTACCTCTGTGCTATAGCTTCTCGGCCTACTGTTAAAGTTACTCTGAAATTTTATTCACTGGACAGAAGTATACTTCATTGATGTTTCATATATGTGTTTATCCATTCTGCTTATTGTTTCCTCTGCTTGAAGTGAGGAAAATCGTGAAGATATTCTGACATGTATTCAATATGCGTAACAGCAACCAAAACTCAAATACATATTAGAATAAGATCAAAAGGTTAGAGCCTTTAAACCATTCTCTCATGGACTCACTGAATTTGGAACAAAATTTCTAGTTTTTCAGTAGTGGTAAACTATATACTTAGCCCTAGTGCTTTATTATGCATAAAACAATAGGAAAAGAAATAGTCCGTTGTCATAATTAATCATCATATTCATTGTCAGAGTCAAACACAATGACATGAATTCTTGGGAAATGTTATTCCCCTCTTCAGTTAAATTGTATTTGTCTCCCTTGTATAGCAAATAAAAAAGGCAAATGAAGTGTTGATGTGACAAGTGAAAAGAGTATGATTCTAAATTATTTAATCATCAGAGGTTCTCAAACTTATTTGGACTACCATCACCCCCACCCCTTTTATTTTTTTTTTGCTTTTGGGTCACACCCGGCTATGCACAGGGGTTACTTCTGGCTCATGCACTCAGGAATTACCCCCGGTGGTGCTCATAGGACCATATGGGATGCTGGGAATCGAACCCAGGTAGTCCGAGTGCAAGGCAAATGCCCTATTCACTGTCCTATTGCTCCATCCCCTACGCTTCCCTTTTTAGGGGAAAAAAAATCCCTCACTACCCTTTTGGAAATAAAAGTGAACAGACAATGCTCCACCCGCATTGGCCCAGGGTCCCCCCACAGCTGTATAGTACACTTTGGGAAGTACTGAAATAGATACCGATTTTGAAAAGGTCTTGTGTTAGTTCATATGTAACTGTTAATGTCAAGATTGGTGACCCTATAATCGCCACAGGAGGGAAAAAATACTTGAAATAATGCTGTTTAGCTCAGAATCATAATAGCACTGTAGCGCTGTCCTCCCGTTGTTCAATTGATTTGCTCGAGCAGGCACCAGTAACATCTCCATTGTGAGACTTGTTACTGCTTTTGGTATATTCAATATGCCACAGGGAGCTTGCCAGGCCCTGCAATGCCAGCAGGATACTCTCAGTAGCTTGCCGGCCTCTCCAAGAGGGATGGAGGAATCAAACCCAGGTTGGCCACATGGAAAGCAAACGCCCTACCCACTGTACTATCGCTCCAGCCTGAGAATCATAGTTGTCCAATAAATATGTCTGCTTCCTTTGAAATAAATTTTGCCTAGACTTAAAGTTACATTTCTCAAGTTTGTTGAAATTGTTTCTTAGTCCCCTATATAACCTAGAAGGAAAAACCCCAGGGCATTTCAGTGAAATTTCAGTGAATGACATTTCCTTCCCCTTGTCCTTCCCTCTAGTGTTGTCATTGTTGTGTGCTCAGGGGACACTGTGCTTGTACACAGGGTTGTAGTACCAGGGGCCCACCCTGCTCAGTACAGTGCTGAGTAGCAAACTCTACCACTGAGTCACATTCCTGGGTTCAGTGAATTTGTGATTTTTTTTCCCCAGAAAAATCAATGTTTCATTGTTAAAATATCTTAGTGATAAATTCATCTACATAGTTAATTACTCTTTGACCACCTTTTCATATGCTAATGATACAAGATTTTCTAGCTCAGCGCAAGATCATTCATCTTTTTCTCTGAATTGAGAGAAGTTACCTGGTATTTGTCGGTTGTTAAATTTCAGTCAAGTATTTTATTTCACATTCAGATGGATTTCCTATTCATGAAATAGGGCCAAAGTTCAACCTTAGACAGGGATGAATGCCCCTGCCCAAGTCTTAAATTAAGGACCCTTTGGTCTCAGTTTACCCTTTTCCCCAAAATCTAACTCTTGCTTTGTTCCAGTGTGCCTCAGGGGAGATGAAGAGATTGAGTTGGTCTTTCTGACACCCACTCATGGGTCTGTAACCTACCCTGTTCTCTTATAAACCTACTAGATGGTTTAGGCTTAGGGGCATGAACCCACCAGCTTCTCAGGTTGCTTGCCCCTGAATAAACCTTTTTTGTCACATCAACCTCTGACCATTGAATGTGAACACCTGACAAACAGTAATTTGAGCCTGTGACTTTTCCCAAAAATGATAAGCCATCACTTCCCTGAAAGTGACCATGAGCCAGTCTCACTAAGCCCAGCTCCAGCACACCTCCAAATCAGTTACTCTAAGAAAAATTCCAAAAGAGCCTGTAGCTTCTCCCCCCCACGCCCCCCCAAGCATTGTGATTTACAGTGCTTTTAATAATCCTTATTTGGTTTTCGCTCTCCCCCAGTGACCCAGGGTTCCCACCTCTCCACCCCATCTCCTTAAGGTAAAGGTAAAGGCCCTCCCGTTGATCATCGATTTGCTCGAGCGGGCCCAGTAACGTCTCCATTGGAGACTTTGTTGTTACTGTGTTTGGCATATCGAATACTCTCGGTAGCTTGCCGGGCTCTCCGAGAGGGGCGGAGGAATCGAACTCGGGTCGGCCATGTTGGCTGCGTGCAAGGCAAACGCCCTACCCGCTGTGCTATCGCTCCAGCCCTTAGCAAACTTTTTTTTAAGTTACTGACGTTTGGGTCACATGCTTACTGTATTGTTAACTTAGGGTTTTGATATTATGAAATAGTTATCTCTAAACTTGGAAGTGTCCAACATCCGTGACCAGTGCCCATCCTCTCCCTTGTTCCCTGCCCCATCTCCCCTCTCCAATTTCCTTGGCAATGAATTCCTTACTTTTAGGGACTAGAATTCTCTGCTCGCTTTGCCAACTAACTAACTTCTTTCTCTTACCAGTCTAACTGCCATACTTTGTACTTCTCGTGAGACGGAACAATGGCTCAAAGTAAGAATGAGCTGGGAAGCAGGCAGTCTGCAGGGAGTATAGTGCTTGGAGGAGTCAGAGTCTTGATCTCCTCTCTGGGGATGAGAAAGAAATATGAGAGAGAAAGCCATGTCATTGCTCCTTCTCACTGTGGATTTATATGTATTGAATGGGAGGCGAGAGGGAACCAGGTGACTGTTCCCTCAGCCTCCTCTAATCTGGCAGCTGTCAATCATGGTGTCTCCTTAAGAAAGAGCACTAGGAAAGTGAGACAGAATCAGAAAAGGTTTAAACTGGCTAATAGCCCCTGGGATAGAAATGCTAAGGCAGAAGGAATAAGCAGCTAGAGAGCCTACAGACTAAAGACTAGACTACGGACTACAGAGACTAACTACAGACTACAGACTAGACTATAGACTACAGACTACACACTACTAAAGAGCCTATAGGAGGTTAAGGTTTATGCTTTGCATGGGGCCTACCATGGTTCAAACCCCAGGTAGTCCCCAGACAACTGCCAGAGGTCATTCTGAGCACGAAGCGAGGAGTAGCCCATGAGCACCATCAGGTGTGACCCAACCCTCCCAATTTGCCCCTTTCTCTACCCCAAAGAAAAAAAGAAAATGACTGTCTCCCAAAATTCCCATCGCCTCTTACTAGCTTTTTTTCCCCAAATTAAGGTTCTATGATTTACAATACTATTGATGGTTTCTCACACTAACACCTTTTAATGTTATTTCAAAAACAGGATCGTGTGTGTGCGTGTGTGTGTGTGCGTGCGTGTGTGCGTGCATGCGTGCGTGTGTGTGTGTGTGTGTGTGTGTGTGTGTGTTTCTACAATCCTAGTAGAAATTAATGTTAACTGAGATAACTACTAAGATAGGGATGCAACATGTTCGGTGACCTAGAAACTTCAAAATTCTGCCCAGAAAATAAAGGTCATATAAGTTATTTAATTTCTTGACTGTTAACAATTTTGCTATGTTAAAATTAGAGAAAATGTGACTGTTCTTCCATAATTTATATGTATAAATTTAACTTCTTTATATTATTTGCTCATTTTCTAAGTGGGTTATTTTATATATACTATGAGTCTTTTAATTGCATTGAATAAATTAATAAAAATTTCCCATTTTTTGCAATATATCACTATGTCTGATTTCTTATCCTATTTTATTAGGATTTGGAACTTGGAAGGTATACAGACTGCTCATTTTGTTCTTCATTCACCTGGAATGAGTGTATGCTGGCATCCTGAGGAATCTTTTAAGGTTGGTCTTTTAATCTTCCAATATTGGTCCCTTCTCCATTCCAGCTGCCTTCTCCCACAGCACATGAGGCTGACTTCCAAATTATGGAGCGATCCTTGTCTCTACTGTCCTTGGGTATTAGTCTCATATTATGTTAATTAATTTTAAAATATATTTTTTTCTTTCATTAACCTGTATATACTACATACATGCCTAGAGAAAAGAAATCTGACTTTTTCTACCTTGGAGATTTTAATTGGCACACACATGCATTTGGATTAGTCTAGAAATCTGTACCTAGGTTTTGATGAACATCATCCATAAGTGACATTTCTTCAGAGAACTCTTACCCTACCCTCTGTGTGTGAAATTATATCCTAAATCCTTATGCTCAGACTAATAGCAATTGTTTTTAATGTTAAATCCATAAGGTTTCTTGCCTGTCGGATCTTTTACCAAAAGAATCAAAAGAATTCGATTACATATATCTATATTATGTCATATTCAACCTACTTTAATCAGACTATCTTATGTTGGGGAGGCGGGCTTCCAGGGAGCGTTCTGGGAACTCAAGGCCAGCCCCAGTGCAACTTGGCTGACAAGGCCAGACAGTTCACTGCTTGGACCCACCCGCAAATGCTCTTGGTACCAAGTAGTGGGTTTCAAACTCGGAGTCCTTACACATGCGAGGCACCTGCCTCTGATCCCTGGGTTATTTCTTGGCCACAAGGTGAATCTTAAAATATGTTTCCTTATGTCACTGCTGAACTCAATAGGGAAAGTTAACAGAGAGATGCACTCCTGAGTTCACTATCTGGTGTCTATTCCAGTTCCACCATTCACTAGCTGTGTGGTCTCTGGCAAGTTATTTAAGCTCTCTCAGTCTCTGTCTTCTTGACCTTGCTTTGTTAGAATGGATGTTTATGAAAACCAAATATTCCTTAAAGCACAATGATTTATAAAGTTATTCATAGTTGAGTTTTAGAATACTCTATACCAGTATCAATCCTACCACCAGTGTCTTTTTATTTTTAATTGAATCACTGTGAGATAGTTACAAAGATTTCATGATTTCGTTTTAGTCATATAATGATCAAACACCCATCCATCCACCAGTGTGTGTTTTCCACCACTAATGTCCCCAGTATCCTTCCCACCACTTCCAACCCATCCATCCCCTGCCTCTGTGGCAGGAACCTTTCTTCTCTCTCTCTCTCTCTCTCTCTCTCTCTCTCTCTCTCTCTCTCCCCCCCCCCCCCCTTTTGGGCATCATGCTTCGCAATACAGATGAGAGGCCATCATGTTTGGTCCTTAGTCTACTTTTAGCACACATCTCCCATCCCGAGCAATCCCTCCAACTATCATTGACTTGGTCCCTTTTCCATCCCAACTGCCTTCTCCCACAGCATATGAGGCTGGCTTCCAAATCGTGGAGTGATCCTTGACTCTACTGTCTTTCGCATGTAGTCTCATATTATGTTATTTTATATTCCACAAATAAGTGCAGTCATTCTATGTCTATCCGTCTCTCTCTCTGACTCATTTCACTTAGCATGATACTCTACATGTCCATCCACTTCTAAGCAAGTTTCATGACTTCATCTTTCTTAACAGCTGCATAGTATTCCATTGTGTAGATGTACCAGAGTTTCTTTAACCAGTCATCTATTCTCAGGCATTCAGGTTGTTTCCTGATTCTGCATATTTTGAACAGTGCTGCCGTGAACGTACAAATGCAGATGTCCTTTCTACTGTGCTTTCTTGCATCCCCAGGATATATGTCCAGAAGTGGGATTGCTGGGTCATATGGAAGATCAGTTTCTAGGACTTTAATAATAACAGATGTAAGATAACATTCATCCAAAGAATTGAGACTTATGTCATCTCTGACTCCCAGGAGAAAAGTTGCTAACTGAAGAGAGGTAACAAGTATTTGCTGACTGCTCTCTCAGCAGTAGATATTGTACTAGTCCTTTAAATACTTTCTCATTTAATTCTTATCAAACACTCCAAAGTTAATAAGAATTGATCCGCTTTTTAGATGAGAAAACTAAAGCAGCAAAGGATAAGTAATTTGCCGTAGTTCACATAGGTTTAACTCAGTCTGATATTCCTTCCAGAGACTCGGTGTCTGTTACTGTTTATGGTTGAGAGGAAGTCTGTAGCACTGTAGCATTGTCCTCCCGTTGTTCATCGATTTGCTGGAGTGGGCCCAGTAACGTCTCCATTGTGAGACTTGTTGTTACTGTGTTTGGCATATCGAATACGTCATGGGGAGCTTGCCAGGCTTTGCCATGTGGGCAAGATACTCAGTAGCTCTGGAGAGGGGCGGAGACAAGGTTGTTGAAACCTAAGGTGGTCAGATGTTACCATATTTTGGTCAAGCCTAGTTCTGAGGCAGGGAGCTGGTATCTTTTTATGATCTTGCATTTTCCTGCCTCCTCTGCTTTGATAATCCTATTTCTTTTGTTACCTGCAAAGATCTGGCTATCCTTCCCAACATTTTAGCTTAGACTCAGGCCAAGTGGTGTTACAGAGGTCAACATATCCTTATTAGCATTTGAATTCACCTCTAGCTGATCTTCTGCTGAGACTAGGTGGGGAAAGGATTTTTCTGTCTAGGATTTGATCTCTCGCCCTAGGTTTACCAGAATCTTCAGTAGTGAGCTTTCTTCCCTAAAGAAAAAGGTAAAGGTAAAGGCAAAGGCCCTCCCGTTGATCGTCGATTTGCTCGAGCGGGCCCAGTAACGTCTCCATTGGAGACTTTGTTGTTACTGTGTCTGGCATATCGAATACTCTCGGTAGCTTGCCGGGCTCTCCGAGAGGGGCGGAGGAATCGAACTCGGGTCGGCCATGTTGGCCGCTTGTAAGGCGAACGCCCTACCCGCTGTGCTATCGCTCCAGCCTAAAGAAAAAAAATTTCCTAATACTTAACAGATCAGCAGTTCCTGAATTTAACTTTTACTGTTTTTTATTTGCTTTTGGCCTGTTTTTGGCCACACTTCGATGGTGTTTGAGACTTTCTTCTGGCACTATGCTCAGGGATCACTCCTGGAGTGCTCAAGGGACTACATGGGGTGCCGAGGATCAGCCCATTTAGCCTCATCCAGCGCATCTGCAGGACTCTCGCTTTTGCCCTCTATTCATTCTTTGAACCGTTCAAATCTGTCATCACTACTAAGCACAGTTTTTTCCTTAATAAAATAGTTCTATTTTGACAACTATGAGGGAAGAGATACACAGTGTTCAAGGGAGAATGTGGGCTTCCCCCCTTTCCCCACCCAGTTTGAGATGTGGGTGGCTCTAAAATGGAAATCGTGCCGTAAAGCTGAAGAAAGGAATTACACACCCACACTCATTGAGATATGGGTGACCGCCCCCCACCCTCATCCCCAAGAGGTCTTTACAACATTGATTTTGGAGTCTTTATGTTGCTGGAATTGTTGGGCTTTTGGTTTTTTGGTGTTTGGGTTTTGATTTTTGTTATTTTTTGTTTTGTTTTGTTTTGTTTTGTTTTTGGCTTTGAGGGCCATACCTGGAGATATCCTGGGCTCACTCCTGACTCTGTTCAGGTATCATTCCTGATGGCTAGGGTATAAAGTTGGTCTTCTGGTGGGACTTATCTGCCCCTGCCTGGAGAGATCTGTGTAGGTTGTAAAGCTTGTCAATGGGAAGATCCTTTGGCTCTTTATGGGTGGGCTTTTCATACTTTTTCCCTTTTTAAAAATTTATGTGTGTGTGTGAACAATGTATACACACACACACACACACACACACACACACTTCAGTGAGTTAACAACAACAAAAAAAATTGTAACATGTTTGTCTTAGAAAAAAATACACCTACAAGGAAATCACACTACAAAGGAAGTTTTAAGTCAAGGTCTCCCCAATTCCTGAGGTATTAGTATTGTGTCTCAGTTTTCAAAACCTGATTTTAAAAAGCTTAAGCATAACTGAAAGACTTAAAATGAACTCGAGTGACAAACATCAGAAATATCCCTCTTTGATTTAGGGACTTGAATATTTGAGAGCAGTCTGTCTCCCTAGTGTGCCTCAGTGGTATAAAATCCACACTAGAGGGGCTGAAGCAATAGCACAGAGGGTAGGACGTTTGTCTTGCACGCGGCTGACCCGGGTTCTATTCCCAGCATTCCAGATGGTCCCCTGAGCACTGCCAGGAGTAATTCCTGAGTGCAGAACCAGGAGTAACCCCTGTACATCGCCAGTGTGACCCAAAAAGCAAAAATAAAATAAAAAGTGGCCAAACTGCACAGTGCTTTTAAAAATAAATAAAATGAAATAAAAATGAAATCCACACTAGGGATCGTACAATGACTAGAGCACTCACCTTGTATCTGGTTGACCCAGGTTTGATCCCTGATACCCAATATGGTCCCCTAAGCACTACCAGGTGTGGCCCAAAAAGAAAACAAAAAATATTTTACTTCACACAACGTATTTCACATAACTTCTAAACTGAGATAACTTTGAAAGACACTAACAAAATGTTAATTGAGAAAAGCTGAAAATAGTTTTACTTTACTCAGAATCATATACTAGAAGAAAGTTTGCACAAGAGAACGCTGAAGAGGTAATTTTTTTTTTTAATTCTAGATTTCTCAAATCACAGTGCAAAACGGGTCCCACATCTTCCTCTAGAGAAATAACTGCTTTTCATTGCATGTTGGCTGTATGTGAAAAATTGATTGAAATAACTCAAATGATCGTCAGCATCCCATGTGATCCTGCAGCACAGAGCCAGGAGTAAGCCCTAAGCATTGTGGGTGTGGCCCAAAAAGCAAAAAATAAAAAAAAGGGATATTCCTGATAACCTATAGGTATCTGCATTGCAAGCTACAATACAATGCCCACAAAAGGCAGGCTGGGATGTGGGGGGTTCGGGGAGGGGAGGGAAACTGGGGACACTGGTGCTAGGAAATGTACACTGGTAGAAGAGTGCTAAGGGTCTTTTTCACAGAGATTCAATAAAAAAATTGAAATAAATAAAATAAACTACTGTCTTTAAGTGACAGCATGTTTGATAGTGTGTATCTGTGACTTGTTTAAAAGAAACATACATTTTTTAAAAATCAACTTGCTTATGTATCTTGCTTTTTTTTCATTTTTGTATAATAATTCAATTTATCATCTAGTCAGTAGGATACTTTGTAGTTTTGGGCAATAGAAAATCATACTAATAAAGTAAAACCCGTAGAATATTTATTGTATATTATATTTTAAAACACCCTCAGCAGTTTCAGTTTGGAGAGATAATATAGGAGGTACGGCCTTCCAGGTGGCTGATCCCACTTTGCATCCTCAGGCCCGTATATAGTCCCCCAAGCACCATCATCAATCACTCCTGTTCTTCGGGCTGGAGCAATAGTACAGCGTTTAGGACACCAGCATTGCATGCTGCTGACCTGGGTTTGATCCCCAGCATCCTGTATGGTCCCCCAGCACGGCCAGGAGTAACCCCTGAGCTTGGCCAGGTGTGGTCCCAGAACAAAAACACTTCTGTGAATATCTAGGAGTAGCCTCTGGCACTGTCAGATTGCCCCAAACCCAAAAAATATATAGTAGTTCAAATTCTGCCTCTTCATTAAAATTCCATAATTCCAAAGGCTACTCAATTTCTCCATTATCATTTTGTTTGTTTTGTTTTGATTTTGCATTTTGTTTTTTAACTTCTCTATAGATGGAATTAATTTTTGTCCCTTTGCATTTGACCTCCGATCCACCATGTACACTAACGTTTGTTTGCCTTTTACCCTCTAACCTTTTGCCTACTTCTCAGATTTGGCTAGTGAATTGGGGGGGGTTCTTTGTCTTACAGCTGATGGTGGCAGAGAAGAATGGAACAATCCGGTTTTATGATCTTTTGGCCCAACAAGCTATTTTATCTCTTGAATCAGAACAGATTCCGTTAATGTCAGCACACTGGTGCCTGAAAAACACCTTCAAAGTCGGAGCTGTTGCAGGGAATGATTGGATAATTTGGGATATTACTCGGTCCAGGTACTTTCTTTGTCTTGTATCTCTTACTAACGGTTAGTCGCTGTTGCTAAAGGAACTACGTGAGTCATTGTATGCCTGGGCTTCACTGTCCAGGAGAAACTTGCCTTTTCTATAAAATGGGCAGATTTATGGGCAGATTTTTTTATGATGAGTTTTATATAAACTGGATGGGTGCCTTTGCTTTCCAAGTTTCCAGTCACCCATAAAGAACAATACAAGAAGGAAACCTTTGAGCTGAGCAGTTATTTAGGTGGGAAAGGGGTGGGGGAAGGGGGAAAGGGAAGAAGGAAGAGATGGAGGGCTGGAGGGAGGGAAGAAGGGAGGTAGAGTCTGAGCACAGAGAGAGGAAAGAAAAAAGGAGGGGAGGAGAGGCAGATGCTGATCCTATGAGGGATGTTATTCTGTAATGGTCCTAAATCATGTTTATGTTCTCAGCATATTTCATCTATTTTAATCCTGTGCTTGCTTTGCAATTTTACCATAGTCTAAGGACAATGAATATTGTGTCCTTTAAAAAGAAATTCACTTTCAAGCCTTAATTTAAGTTTTTCAACTTGAGCCTAACACATTCATTGAGAGCAAAATACTGTTTTCCAGTTACCCGCAAGACAAGAGACCCGTCCACGTGGACCGGGCCTGCCTATTCAGGTAATGCTCCATTGCGCCGCTTTGAGTTTGGTTTCTCTGTGTTGTGCCACCACTTGGAATCCTTTCCCAGTCTTATTGTTCTGTGGACGGTTATTTTGCACTCTTGACTGAAGCCATTGTTTTTGTCTTTTGGTCTGGGCCTGAGACTGGCTTCCTTTCCAGTATTTTCTTTGGATATTTTTATGATGAGTGAAACATGCCACCACTGTGTGGCACTCCCAGGCACTCCGGCCATCTGCTTCCTTAGTTCCTGTGCTAAGATGTGAATATCGATTGGTCCTATGCTTACACATATAAACTGTTGTCTTTAAAAGTAGTTTAAAAGTAGGTAAGCTGTATTAAAAGTAGGTAAAGGGATATTCCTGATAACCTATAGGTATCTGCATTGCAAGCTACAATACAATGCCCACAAAAGGCAGACTGGGATGTGGGGGGTTCAGGGAGGGGAGGGAAACTGGGGACACTGGTGCTAGGAAATGTCCACTGGTAGAGGGGTGCTAAGGGTCTTTTTCACAGTGATTCAATAAAAAAATTGAAATAAATAAAATAAACTATTGTCTTTAAGTGACAGCATGTTTGATAGTGTGTATCTGTGACTTGTTTAAAAGAAACATACATTTTTTAAAAATCAGCTTGCTTATGTATCTTGCTTTTTTTTTCATTTTTGTATAATAATTCAATTTATCATCTAGTCAGTAGGATACTTTGTAGTTTTGGGCAATAGAAAATCATACTAATAAAGTAAAACCCGTAGAATATTTATTATATATTATATTTTAAAACACCCTCAATGAAATTGTGAAATTTGGAGAAACTATTATTTTATGTGCTTCTTCTACACTAAATGTATGAAAGCCATAGATTATAAGATGCATCCTGATTTCAGAACTGTGAGCCAGTATGCATTAAATCCGCAACTATCATGATTAACAGGCTCAGGGTTGGTTGATTAGTTCATTGTGCCATGGGCCCTGGCCCTGCCCATCCTCGGGGTCATAGATTATCACCTTAATTCTTGGATTCAGAGCCTCAGGCCAGTCAGAACAAACTGAGAGGAAGGAATGTGTATGCCCCTTACCCCAGACTAGCTGCCATTGCCTTACATATTTTGTCCCAGCCCCAGAGTTGGACACACTGTGACAAACATAGTTGGATTTAGTTCAGCATGTAAGAAGGACAAATTACCTTTGGACAGGCAACTCATATGCCCGCCTGCTACATAAAAAAAAGTAACGCACCACAGCAGTTTTATTTGTCAAGGAACTCTTTCTTTTTTACTTTTATTTCTCCCTCCCCTCCCTTCCCCCACCCGTGGACTTGTTAGGCTGTTGTTAGGCTCTGGCTCTCCAAGAATATTTGAAATCTTGTGAAATATTTTGTATTTTCCAATACCAGGTTTATGCTTCCCACTGCACTCTCACCCCCGTTGATTAAAAAAAGAAGACTCACAGTGCCTAAATTAAAATTAAAGCAAATTAAAAAGTAAAGAGGAGAGAAATAAAGAATTTGCGGGGTTGGGGATATAGCTCACATATGACTTGCATGTGGGAGACCCTGGATTCGACCGCCAGCACCAGGGCCCCTTTCACCCAGTACCATCAGGTATGCCCTGACCTGTACGCCACCCCTCCTGCCCACCCGCAAAAAGGAACTGCAACATCAGTAACAAAGACAGGAATTCTGCTAGCCTTATGTAACTGTGGAACATAGCAACAGACAATTGATGAGCACTTGAGGGTCACAGCAGGAGAGACTGTAGACAGTTACCCCATAGTTCCCAGTTTTGCTGTAGAACCATATTAACTAAAGTCATAAGCATGGAGTTTTGAGAAAAAAGAAATAACTTGTTTCAAAGGGGAAAAAATCATAATTATCTCTACAATACTATTCTGATTTTATCCTGTCTTTTCTTAGATGGTCTTCAATTAATGAAAACTTGTTTGCAACAACTGGTTATCCTGGGAAAATGACAAGCCAATTTCAGATTCATCACTTGGGACACACTCAGGTAATTAGGAAATATTTTATCCTATAGGTGGGCTTTTTGGTTTTGATCTTGTGGACTTCTCAAAGCAGTGCCCTGAGGCCCACTCCCAAAATATTGCATAAGTTGGACCAGGTGGCTCAGAGCTGGAGCTCGCTGGTGCAGTGCTCTTCAGGCCCTGCATGCAGTGCTGGGCACCACCAAGGCCACCCAGTGGTGCCAGATTGTCGTGGTCTGGGATCAAATGCAAGTCTTAGCTCAGGCTTTGCACCATCTCCTAAGCTTTCTCCCTGGTTCCACATGTGTGGTTTTGTTTTGGGGTGTTGTATTTTTTCTTTTTCTTTTTTAATGTGTGTTTTTCCGTTTGCTTCCTCTACTCAAAGCCCCAAATTTGCTTGCTTTCTACTAAATTAGAAAGCAAAGGCCTGTTTAGATATTTGAATTACCAGTGGTAACATACTTTTTACCAGTAATTATGTAAGGAGCATTTTAATTCCCCGTTACGTTTTCTCATTCATTTAAATATAGTAATTTTGGGTGCCGGGGAGATAGCACAGTGGGTAGGGTGCTTCCCTTGCAAGTGGCCAACCTGGATTCAATCCCCAGTACCACATAATAGTCCGACAAACCCCACCAGAAGTGATCCTTAAGCACGGATACACAAGTAAGCCCTGAGCACCACTGGATGAGTTCCAGAAATAAAATTAATGTAGTAATTTTGCTTACTGTTTATGCTGCAAAAATATTTGCATGTGGGCTGTACCACTTATCATAGATTACTGTATCCTTCATATCTTTGAGCTGCAAATGATGTGTATCTCACCTCTAGGATCTTATTTTTAATAAATAAAGGAATTTTTTTATATCTTTTATTAACACAAGCAGTTTATCAGTGCATTTCTTATTTTCAAAAGTATTTTATTTACTAACTATACTGACTTATTGAGCTTCTTTAATTCTTTTCTATTTTGTAGCCCATCCTCACCGGCTCTGTACCTGTTGGATCTGGCCTTTCCTGGCACAGAACTCTGCCCCTGTGCGCCATTGGAGGAGATCACAAGTTGTTGTTTTGGGTGACTGAAATGTAACGTAAATTTTCTGTATACCTTAGATCCATAAGCTTTGTATTTTTAATACATATTTTGGAGAATTTCTTATTTTTATATCAAACATACTGTAAACTCCCTTGTTACTTTTGTTAAATAAATATTGATGCTTTGAAAAAAATCTATTCTGTGCATCTCTGTGTACATTTTTTTAATCTTTTAAGGACGTAATTGTCTTGACTCAACTGTAGAGAAAAAGTGATTAGGGAAACATTACTTCTGATTTTATCACAGGATTATCCAAAATGGAACCTCTATACTTCCTTTTTCTTTTTTTTTTTTGCTTTTTGGGTGACACCCGGCAATTCACAGGGGTTACTCCTGGCTCATGCACTCAGGAATTACTTCTGGCAGTGCTCAGGGGGCCATATGGGATGCTGGGAATCAAACCTGGGTCGACCATGTGCAGGGCAAACGCCCTACCCACTGTGCTATTGTTCCAGCCCCAAACTTGTATACTTTATATGAATCTTACTTTTCTTTTTAAATTTTTATTGATTGGGGGAAGGGGTGGGGACCCATACCTGGCAGGGATAACTCTGATCTAGGACAGTGCTCAGGGAACCAATCATATGTAGTGCCAGGGATTAAACCATGGTGGTCATCAGAAAGACCTTGGGAGCCAAAGAGATAGAACAGCAGGTAAGGCACACAGCCTTCCGGGTTCAATCCCAGCATCCCATAGGGTCCCCTGAGCCTACCAGGAGTGATTCCTGAGTACAGAGCCCGGAGTAACCCCTCAGCATCACTGGGTGTGACCCAAAAACAAATAAAGAAAAAAGTCAAACCCCTTAACCTCTGTACTGTCTCTCTGGCTCCAACTAATACACTTTAGATTTATTGTTTTCCTCAGGGACACTGATCTTTACAAAAAATGAAAAAGTTCTTTCTATTCTATTCATTCTTTTGGAAGTGCTTATATTCATATGCATATATTCATATGCAATCCATGTTTGTATAGGACTTATTGCTTCCTTAGTTATTATAAGGGATTATTATTTATTTCCGTATAAAAATGATTTATAGTTTCTTATAAATGTGACAGTGTGTTACTCAACCCTGTTTACTATATGCACATTCCTTCTGTCTGGATGGCTCAACATACTTACAACATCTGGTAGAGGATAAAGTCTTCCCTGAAAATGATTTATAACATAATACCTTTAACAGTCCCTCTGCTTTTTTTATGAATGATCATTTCTTATCAGAAAATTATATATATTGAGGGGGGTAAAGAGGGGGGTTTAGGCCACACCCAGCAGTACTCAGGGGTTTACTCCTGGCTCTGCACTCAGGGGTCACTCCTGGCAGTCTGGAGGAGGGACCATATGAGGCACCAGAGATTAAACCCTGGTTGGCCACATGCAAGGCACTTGCCCTACCCACTGCACGATCGCTCCAGCCCAAATATAATTTTTATTTTTTGTTTTGGGCTCACACCTGCCAGTGCTCAGGACTCACTCCCAGCTCTGTGCTCAGAAATCATTCCTGGCAGACTCAAGTATCAAATGGGATGCCAGGCCCCAAACCTGGATTGACCATCTACAAGGCAAGAACCCCACCCCTTGTACTATCTCGGCCTTTAATAAGTGTGGGGCATTCAATGTTGCAACCCCTATTTCTCTTCACCATTGATTCATTGATTCATTCATTGATTCAGTCTCCTGCCCCTGCGCCTGGCTGTTCCTCACCGGGGTCCCTTGGAGGGGAGCGGGTTGAGCTTTCCTCCCCACCCCGACCAGGGCTCTGGCAGCCGAAGACCTCCAGGACCAGCCACCACCATGCTGAGACCACTCTCCGCACACATGAAGGTGCTGGCAGAGGGACAAAGCCACGCGGGTTCCTGGGCCGAGATCTCCAAGCCTACTCGAATTGGAGTCGAGCATCCTCCACCCAGATCCTCCAAATTCCAGTAGGCGGGGATAACACCCACCACCTGGCCCCCTGGCGCCGTGTAATCCCATCAGCGGCCAAGACTCAGAGACTACAAAATGCAGCTCCCGGACGAGACCAGTGCAGTCAGTCTCCTGCCCCTGCGCCTGGCTGTTCCTCACCGGGGTCCCTTGGAGGGGAGCGGGTTGAGCTTTCCTCCCCACCCCGACCAGGGCTCTGGCAGCCGAAGACCTCCAGGACCAGCCACCACCATGCTGAGACCACTCTCCGCACACATGAAGGTGCTGGCAGAGGGACAAAGCCACGCGGGTTCCTGGGCCGAGATCTCCAAGCCTACTCGAATTGGAGTCGAGCATCCTCCACCCAGATCCTCCAAATTCCAGTAGGCGGGGATAACACCCACCACCTGGCCCCCTGGCGCCGTGTAATCCCATCAGCGGCCAAGACTCAGAGACTACAAAATGCAGCTCCCGGACGAGACCAGTGCAGTCAGTCTCCTGCCCCTGCGCCTGGCTGTTCCTCACCGGGGTCCCTTGGAGGGGAGCGGGTTGAGCTTTCCTCCCCACCCCGACCAGGGCTCTGGCAGCCGAAGACCTCCAGGACCAGCCACCACCATGCTGAGACCACTCTCCGCACACATGAAGGTGCTGGCAGAGGGACAAAGCCACGCGGGTTCCTGGGCCGAGATCTCCAAGCCTACTCGAATTGGAGTCGAGCATCCTCCACCCAGATCCTCCAAATTCCAGTAGGCGGGGATAACACCCACCACCTGGCCCCCTGGCGCCGTGTAATCCCATCAGCGGCCAAGACTCAGAGACTACAAAATGCAGCTCCCGGACGAGACCAGTGCAGTCAGTCTCCTGCCCCTGCGCCTGGCTGTTCCTCACCGGGGTCCCTTGGAGGGGAGCGGGTTGAGCTTTCCTCCCCACCCCGACCAGGGCTCTGGCAGCCGAAGACCTCCAGGACCAGCCACCACCATGCTGAGACCACTCTCCGCACACATGAAGGTGCTGGCAGAGGGACAAAGCCACGCGGGTTCCTGGGCCGAGATCTCCAAGCCTACTCGAATTGGAGTCGAGCATCCTCCACCCAGATCCTCCAAATTCCAGTAGGCGGGGATAACACCCACCACCTGGCCCCCTGGCGCCGTGTAATCCCATCAGCGGCCAAGACTCAGAGACTACAAAATGCAGCTCCCGGACGAGACCAGTGCAGTCAGTCTCCTGCCCCTGCGCCTGGCTGTTCCTCACCGGGGTCCCTTGGAGGGGAGCGGGTTGAGCTTTCCTCCCCACCCCGACCAGGGCTCTGGCAGCCGAAGACCTCCAGGACCAGCCACCACCATGCTGAGACCACTCTCCGCACACATGAAGGTGCTGGCAGAGGGACAAAGCCACGCGGGTTCCTGGGCCGAGATCTCCAAGCCTACTCGAATTGGAGTCGAGCATCCTCCACCCAGATCCTCCAAATTCCAGTAGGCGGGGATAACACCCACCACCTGGCCCCCTGGCGCCGTGTAATCCCATCAGCGGCCAAGACTCAGAGACTACAAAATGCAGCTCCCGGACGAGACCAGTGCAGTCAGTCTCCTGCCCCTGCGCCTGGCTGTTCCTCACCGGGGTCCCTTGGAGGGGAGCGGGTTGAGCTTTCCTCCCCACCCCGACCAGGGCTCTGGCAGCCGAAGACCTCCAGGACCAGCCACCACCATGCTGAGACCACTCTCCGCACACATGAAGGTGCTGGCAGAGGGACAAAGCCACGCGGGTTCCTGGGCCGAGATCTCCAAGCCTACTCGAATTGGAGTCGAGCATCCTCCACCCAGATCCTCCAAATTCCAGTAGGCGGGGATAACACCCACCACCTGGCCCCCTGGCGCCGTGTAATCCCATCAGCGGCCAAGACTCAGAGACTACAAAATGCAGCTCCCGGACGAGACCAGTGCAGTCAGTCTCCTGCCCCTGCGCCTGGCTGTTCCTCACCGGGGTCCCTTGGAGGGGAGCGGGTTGAGCTTTCCTCCCCACCCCGACCAGGGCTCTGGCAGCCGAAGACCTCCAGGACCAGCCACCACCATGCTGAGACCACTCTCCGCACACATGAAGGTGCTGGCAGAGGGACAAAGCCACGCGGGTTCCTGGGCCGAGATCTCCAAGCCTACTCGAATTGGAGTCGAGCATCCTCCACCCAGATCCTCCAAATTCCAGTAGGCGGGGATAACACCCACCACCTGGCCCCCTGGCGCCGTGTAATCCCATCAGCGGCCAAGACTCAGAGACTACAAAATGCAGCTCCCGGACGAGACCAGTGCAGTCAGTCTCCTGCCCCTGCGCCTGGCTGTTCCTCACCGGGGTCCCTTGGAGGGGAGCGGGTTGAGCTTTCCTCCCCACCCCGACCAGGGCTCTGGCAGCCGAAGACCTCCAGGACCAGCCACCACCATGCTGAGACCACTCTCCGCACACATGAAGGTGCTGGCAGAGGGACAAAGCCACGCGGGTTCCTGGGCCGAGATCTCCAAGCCTACTCGAATTGGAGTCGAGCATCCTCCACCCAGATCCTCCAAATTCCAGTAGGCGGGGATAACACCCACCACCTGGCCCCCTGGCGCCGTGTAATCCCATCAGCGGCCAAGACTCAGAGACTACAAAATGCAGCTCCCGGACGAGACCAGTGCAGTCAGTCTCCTGCCCCTGCGCCTGGCTGTTCCTCACCGGGGTCCCTTGGAGGGGAGCGGGTTGAGCTTTCCTCCCCACCCCGACCAGGGCTCTGGCAGCCGAAGACCTCCAGGACCAGCCACCACCATGCTGAGACCACTCTCCGCACACATGAAGGTGCTGGCAGAGGGACAAAGCCACGCGGGTTCCTGGGCCGAGATCTCCAAGCCTACTCGAATTGGAGTCGAGCATCCTCCACCCAGATCCTCCAAATTCCAGTAGGCGGGGATAACACCCACCACCTGGCCCCCTGGCGCCGTGTAATCCCATCAGCGGCCAAGACTCAGAGACTACAAAATGCAGCTCCCGGACGAGACCAGTGCAGTCAGTCTCCTGCCCCTGCGCCTGGCTGTTCCTCACCGGGGTCCCTTGGAGGGGAGCGGGTTGAGCTTTCCTCCCCACCCCGACCAGGGCTCTGGCAGCCGAAGACCTCCAGGACCAGCCACCACCATGCTGAGACCACTCTCCGCACACATGAAGGTGCTGGCAGAGGGACAAAGCCACGCGGGTTCCTG